TTGCTATATTCATTCTCTGAACAGAGGGAACATGAGGTTGGAAACGCGTCAAGATCGCATCCAACGTCCTGAAAAATACGTCTTGATATTGTACAGGCACTCCAGAGGGTACCTGTCCTCCACTCTACCTGGCCAGGGCAGGTGAATTATTGCTCTCAGCTAATCTATCATTTCCCGCTTTACTTTGGGAGCTATATTGTCCAGAGATCAAATAAGATATGACCAAATAACTCTATTAGAATAACAACATACTTATTAATCATATCAGATCAGAAGTTATCTCTACTATGTTGGCATGTACACATTTAAAGACATTCTAGACTCCGGTTTACGCCTAGAATCGACTAAACCTTAGCTCTGATACTATTAAATGTAACACCCCCAACCCGTATCCAACCCGGATACGAATTCGATGTGTCACATTGACTTTTCAAATCATGTACATTTATATATGAAATTTAACTTTTATTAACACAAAAGCTATATCTACATAATTAAGTTTAAAACATTACAAAATTGATCAGAGCATGCGTAAATTACACTTTTCTACATGCCAACACTTTTGACCCAACAAAATACATACTGTGAATTTACTTCTGATCTGATCTTGGAGTGGAAGTATGCTGCTTTGCAAATTCTAAGCTTGCTCCTCTTGCTCTTCTGAACCTACGTGTAAAAACGCTTACACGGTAAGTCATATACTTAGTGAGGCATAAAAATATAACAATGTATTTCCTATAAATATGAACGTGCAAACTGATTACTCATTTACAATCATATCATAATTTAGTCATGTCACACATATGATACAATATAAACAATTATAATATGGTAACATATACTCATGTAAATACCTTTGATATATTTTATAGGCCCATGTACATTACTGAGAACTTAAGGTATGCGAGTACATTGAGGTTGTGCACTTATGTTGTTACCACAACTCGTATAGGGTCCCACTAGGGGCATGCGAAATTTGTCCCGAAAGACCTTTGTATATGTCCCGAATGACCTATGCAACCCTCGACTATTGGCATGCCAACTATACCCCTAGCTCTCATATCACATAACATGGGCATTATTGTTATTCTTCATATGTTCATGTATTCATATCATTTCTCATGTAATCACATATGTCTTTTCTTTTATCATATAGCACATGTACATACAATTATCAATCTCGTATCATATAACATGTGTATTTGCATCTATTCATATGAATCATATATTATTTATCAAATCCTATAAACATATATAACTTATGCATGTATTTATAATAATCACCATGTATGCGTTCATAATTACTATGCTATAAATACTAACATAGGAATAGACTTATCACAAGTCATAATTCCTTTCAACTATATCTATAGTATGCACTCACCTTGGCCTCACTTAGTTTCCAATTCCACCTCTATGATTTCTTTCTTTGAATCGAATCCTAATTTGGTGATCGTTCTGGAACTTGCTTACATTCGAGGTCTACATAATCATACATTTATACATATCAGTATTCCAATTAGCATACTCTAATTTCTCATCCCTTAAACTAAATGAAAAGTCTATTTTCATTTTCCCTTTGAAGTAGTATCGGTACCCACTATAGGGTATCGATACTACCCTTGCTGGGGTATCGATACCAAGCCTGGGTATTGATACTACCCTAGCTGGGGTATCGATACGAAGCCTAGGTATCGGTACCAAAATTACATTCGATATTTCAAGGTATCGATACCTCCCTTATGGTATCGATACCTATGGTATCGATACTACCTTCCCATGTATCGATACCCTTTGAAAGCCTTTGTTAATTCCAGACTTGAGGTATCGATACCTATTGAAGCAGTACCAATACACATAGCCCATATTTTCCTTTTTAAGCCCAAAAATTTACTTATTCTAACTCAAATTTTTCATAACTTAGCTCCTTTAATACCCATAACTCAAGAATACATACTCAAACAATTTCCTAGACATTTAACACATCTATATCCTCAAATTCTCATCCTCCATATGAAATTCAAGAATCATACCAAATTTTCTACTTGTTCTAAATTTAATTCTATCACTTCATATCTCTTAATTCAACCATTGACAAGTCAACTTATTAACTCTTCTTCATGATTTTATTTAAAAGCCCCTTAACTTTAATCTCTCCTAACTCCTTCATTCTTTGTTTTAAAGTTAACTTAAGTCTTCTTTAAGCTTACGTAGCGCTTAAGGATCATAAACCCAACTTAAATTAAATGAATAATTAACTAACAGAAGAACTCACCTTATCAAGCTTGAGTTCACAGCAGGAAGAAGATGAAGAAGAGAGTTTTCTGGAAACTTTTTCCTTTAACCTTCATTTCCCACATGTATATATATATCCTTCATATTCATTTTTAATTCATTTCTAGGTCAAATGACCATTTTGCCCGCCCATTTCTCCTTCTTTGATATTTAATCCTATACAAAATTCTCAATATAAGTCCCCAAACTTTTCAATTTATCTACTTTGACCAAATAATTTTGAAATATTTCAATTTAGTCACTAACCCGATATTGAGGATGTTACACCAACCTAGTTGATTGAAGATCCCCAAGATCTAGGTTCAATGGGACAACCTACTTGCATAGGCCTTGTGAGGTCACTGTGGGGGTTTTATCCCCAAGCCTATTCCTATGATGAAAACAGTGACTAAAATGTGGATGAGGTTAAACAATTCTTTTAATGACCAATATGTGTTTCATTGAACCAAACAACATAAGTCACCTATGCGAGAGTGAAGTGGAGCCACTTCAAAGAGACTATTGAGGCATAGTTCTCTAAGCTATTGCAGAACCAGGAGATGTCCACAGCTATATGAACATAACCATAAGAACCAAACTCTTGTTAGTGAGATATTTGTGTGAGGTATGTCATCGCTTACACAAACGACAGGACAGTTCAAGGACATCATGTCTACTGGACAGCCAATAAGGTAAACATATTTTCATAAGGGAAGGTTCAAAGGGGGACGCCTACCTATCCTATGCAAATATCTAATTTATAATCTATCACTACATCGAGTCAATGTTTTAAACAATCAAATTCATTCATGTGGGGGATTGTTGGAAAAATATGAATGAATTGATTTATTCAATCATGAGTATTCAACATCTATATTCATGAAAAATAGTTAAGTCTTTTCATGAAAAAAAAATTAATTCATTTCACTCAAAAAGTGAAGTCTTTTCATGTTAACCTTTTCATCAAAAGGTTATAATTTTTAATCAAATGGTTAAGTCATTTCATTTAAAGATCTTAACATTTCAATACAAATTCATCTCCCTATATAAAGGAAAATTTGTGACACATCTCAATACACAACTTTTTCATTTTTCTTTCAAATACTTTCCTTTTAAATCTTCAATTCTTTAAAGTCATTTTCTAGAGATAGATAAAGACAAAAATTGTATTCGATTGTTCACTACGGTTGTGCTTACTGTTGTGAACGTTGGTTGTTGTATCCTGAGAGACTGACGTCCAACGTTACTCAAAGCACCGAGGAGATGACGAATCTGTCTTAAGGAAATTATTCATAAATGCCTCAAGAAAACTCTTCTTCTATTTAGTCAGGTCCATCCGACTACAGATTCTATTCTAATTTCACAATTTGTTTAACTTTATTATTGCAACGAATTTTTTTAGATTATCATACTACAACCCTAATTTTCAATATTTGCAACAAGATCTCTCCATTTTGGTCATTAAACGATTTTTAAGAATGAACCAGATGAAATTTATGACATGTTGGGGGCCGTCAAAGCTCCAAACCAGACTCCAGAGGTTATCATTTTCGTTCCAGCTGCTGTGGCGGAGATCGTGATACGCAGACCTGACCATACAGTTCCCCGAAGCCTCCCACTGCCAGGTCGGTTGATCGTTTCCAGCATCGTTGCGGGGAGGGGGAATAACAATGAGCTCACGGACCATCTCATCGTCCAAGTGTTGCTTAAGCTTATAAATATCCCAATCGCCAGAAATAATACTAATGTCGCTGATGGGGGGTGTCCAGATTGCAAGTGCGGTTGTCATAGATACCGGCCGCCAGGGGATGTTTTTTCCCCAGTAATTCAGGCATCGGTCCAAAACCTCATACTTTGCCTTTTTCCAATGAGCCAGCAAATATTATTACGAATGAAGCACCAAACCTTAGATAAGAATCTCCACACAAACGAACAATTTCTGGAATCAAGCTAGTTAGGCATCGTCATTATGAATTTGTATTTGGACCGGCATACATTGTTTATTTATTAATTAACATTTTCTTATATGCATAATCGCACTAAAGCTATCATGATCGAATATCAAAACAAAAATAAGATCAAAACCAAAAAATTATTTTACCATGCTTTTTCATGGCACATAACATATAAATCATGTCATGTCTGTACACTATTTCAAAAAAAAAACGTCATGTGTGATCCTTTCAATCGTGGTAGTTTTTCATACAAAAATATCTTTTGATTAATTTTTTTAACCTACACGTGAAAACAACTACACATTAATTCATCTAAATTTAATAATATCATAATCTTTTCTTGAAAAAACCGAGATGAGTACAAGGTTTAATTTTTTTTTATTATCGACAACTCGAACACAATCTACAAATATAATTATTTGAATCTAGAATCACTTGAAAGAATAATATTCCCATTCACCATTAATACTATTTGATTGGATAAAACTTGATTTCATTTGTTATTCATTACTTCATTAATCATAATTATTCTTAATATCATTTGCATATCATGAACATCCGTACTATTCATTTCATACATCGTGCTATAACATCATAACATATATCGTATTGTTAGCTCGATCGACATAAAATTATTTTCATTCACTTTATTTTGCTAATCAATGTTAATATGTCTATTTTGGAGTATATATTATAATATTTACAAGTTACTTAGGAAGGATAAGTTCGTCAGTGTTTCCTCCACACTTTTGATTAACTTGTTTTCTGATACAAATGAAACAAGTCTTTGAACACATAAAATTGAACCTATGTTTCCTCCACACATGATACTGCTCCAAATATCTAATATTTTTGTAAGAAGCAATCATAAAAAGACAGGAACTTTCTTCTCCGACATCCAATGTTGAATCGAATGAGATTTTATTTGTTTAGGGTTTAGGGCCTAGAGTTTAGGGTTATTCTGAAATCTTGAAGACGAAGAACCTCAATCTTCAGCTCCAACTAAAACCATTGAGATCAAACATTCTGCAACTTGAAGATCCAACATTATGTTGTTCGTCAACATTTAAATCCTGCTTCGTTGCAAAGTAAGGCAATCTATTAACTGAATCCACCCTTTTGTTTCCTTCATCTGTGAAACTATGCTCTTCGAATTTTCCTTCGGAAAAGCTTCCTCGTAATCCCACGCTCATCGATAAATCACCGCAGCTCCTGTCCGTAAACAAGTCGTAGCCCATCATTTTGTTTTCGGACGCTTTCGGCTCGGTTTGCTGCATCAATGGATCTTTGTGAGTACCGTAGCTTCTTGAACACATTCCATTGTTGTGTATCTCTTGATCTTTTAAAGACCCTTCACAAGATGCCAAGCAACTATCCATTGAACAATCATTGGCGGGGTTCGGTTGACTGTATAAACCTTGCAATTCTTTCAAATCCGAAAACGCCGAGTTCAGACGATGGTTAGACACTTTCGACACCAGTTCCGATAGCTGAACTTTGGCCGTTTCGAGCCCCATGGTGCCCAAATTCTGTCTATGGAGAGTCTCTTGAGCTTTCTCCAGCACCGACTGTAGGTACTTCCCTTGCGCCTCGATACCAAGCTGTAAAAGCCGCTGAACCTCGATATGCTCATGCAGCCTTCTATGCACTTCAATTTGAATATGCAGCGCTTCGCCAGTTTGTATTCCCCTGGATCGATGAACATCGAAGTTAATATATATATATATATATATACACACACACACACATATACTGATATACACATGGATGATTGAATGAAAAAATAAAAAATGAAGATATATCATCTTACTTATTTGTTTGAGGTCCAATACTTAAATTATTCATTGGGGTGTTGTTTACTTCAGATATTCTTTCGCCTGCCATTGCAACCGCACCAATATTCATTGAATCAAAATACAATCTTCATAGACAATTGAAAATTTGATAGACAAGGAATTAACACTGTATTTTTACCTATTTTGGTACAGCCATTATTAGTTTGTCCGTTGAGATTTTTACTAAGCCTGTATTTCTGCAGGAACAACCAGAGATATATATCATAATCATCGAAAAATCGATATTTTCGAACTCTGTCTGCAACTCAATATCAGGCTATCAGCTTTGGTAAACTACCTGAAGATGACTTTTGAGATGGTATAAGGTAAGGCCTGGAATTCCCATTAGTTTCATCACCGTTTTAGGTGTGGCCTCTGCAACAAGTAGAGAACAAGTATACAATTATCACAGTTTATATATATGCATATGGTTTGCTATGGCAATTCTTGGAGACTTCTGTGTGTACTCACTGTCGGCTCCGCCGAGCTGGTTGACGGCTTCAATGAATCGCTCGTGAAGATCAGGCGTCCATTTCAATCTTGGCTTGGCATCAGTTGAAATTACAAGGCCGGGATCTCCATGGCCACCTTGCAGGAACAAATGCCTCTCTTTATGAAGTCCCATTCTCGAACTCGGGTTCATGTTCTTCCCAAATTTGATCGATCAACACCTCTTCTCACCCCCTCTCGTATGGCCACTTCTTACAAGCAAAAGGTGAGCCCCAACCATGGATTTATAAAGCAACATAGGGAGGGAAAGCATAGAATCTGGGACTGAAACTGATGAAACAACAATATTCACACAAACTAAAAAAAGGTAATATTGTCCCTCCTGCGGGCCCCACACTCAGATACATATGCATGCATCATAATTATGATAAACATGACCAGACCATGTTGGAAAAGCAGTGCAAAAGCCATTCGAATGGCTCTGAAGAAGCAACTTTCCTGGAAATTATGTAACACATTTATTATTAACTTGCAATAGGTATTGGAATTGATCCATTAATTTGTGAGAATTAATCATATTCGTCCCCACTGGCAAAAGCCGGGAATCTTATTCCACGGATTTTATAAAGTTTTGAGGGAATCCACTATCTATCTTTGTTCTCGAGACCTTCAAAAAAGGGCTCTCAACTTCAACCAAGATTCCTGCGTAACTCTTATGGTTTTCTTCCCTTCAAGTCGCTTTTGATCACTAATCTTTGTCTAATATCGAAATCCATACTTAGTTTAAACATTTTTCTCATTCACCAACGTGAGGTATAATTTTTCCATTTTTTTAATATAATTCATAAGTAGCTTACTTTGCTTATTATTTTCACACTTTGAACATATGATATACGGTTGTTAAATGTCTCATAGAATAGAATATAAAACTATAATTTTATAATTCGTATCTCTACCTTTATCCGTTAAAAATATACTTTAAAATTTATAAAAAATCATTTTTTCAATAATAGTTACCATTAATAAATTTAAAATTTAAATCCCGATATTTATAATCTTAAATTTTGAAAAATGGGACTCTTTGAACTAAATCACTTATATGAAGAAAGCATTGGGATTAGTTAAATACAAGAAAAAATGAGGGGAAAGATGCTCTTAGAGATTGTTTGGAAGCAAGGAATGGGAATAAGGAATTCATTCCATTTTGTCTCCTTCAGCATGTTTGGTACTTATTCAAGCCTTTACAGTATTTTTTCACAAAGAAGAAAGGGGACCCAAAATCTCTTTAATTTATTACTTTCTTTATCTTAATAAAGATATTATTGGAAAAGGTTTCTTGAACAGAAATGGCAGCTTAAATTAATGTAAAATATTGTGACAACAAGCAAATTCTTCCGGATTTTACCTGCATGGATCTGCACGTAGAAAACATATATGGAACTGACTATATATGCCTTGCATGTACTCATCCATGCCATGTGGTTTCAAATCAGTGATGGATCGAGGGTTGGAGCAAACGTCGCTATTAAACTTTTAAATTATCACATATTTTAAATATTTTCTTTGTATTTTTTATTAATAATTTATTTTTCCTTTAAAATTTCATAAATTCGTCCCCTCCTAAAATTTGAAAAATTCACCTTAACATAAAGTCATACGTCTGTACAAATTTCAAATCGTCATTTGAACCCTAAGAAACAAATCCTATTGGAATAAGCTTTTAAGATAAGATTACCTAATTCATATGGTGTTCGAAATTAGAATTTGCTTATAATAAGGCATTTGTTTTTTTAAAGGGTAAATTTGTATGATTTTATTAAGGCGTTTGTTTATGGCAGACTTGTAAGTTCAATAGGCTCTTGCAAGGTGTCAAGTCTAAGTTCAATATGCTTCTGCTATCATAGCTAGCATTTGCACAGTGATATCCAATCATGGAGATAACCAGGAATTATACTATATGCCTATTTTAAATACTTAAATTAATAATTAAAAATAATAATATCCACATGTAACATGATCATCATCAGCTAATGCAGAATAAATTCGTATATTATATTATAAACAACAAATCTGTAATATCATCTAAAAACCGTCAAGGCAGAAAATTAAAACTTATTCAATAATTGTGTACATGTACATATATAAGAAGATCTTACTCATAATATCAAATTTTAAATAAATTAAAAACCATTTAGTTATTCATTTCGTGTAAAAAAAATTCATGTTTCAACCATTCAATAATATCCATAATGAAAATAGGTCATGGTAGTGTATGCAGAGATTAGAAGAGTTCATTTCATAGCAATTATAAGGAAATTAAAACCCAAATTCGTTTCTATAATATGCCTTCACAATATTGATTCATAAATGTCAAGGAAATGATATTTTAATGCAGTTTTGGGAATGTATAGTGGTGGATTTAGAAATATTTTTTTTAGGGTGGATACATATATAATAACAACATAAAATTTGTGAACATGGTGGACACATATATATTAACAACAAAAATTTATTGTATAGTGTGAGTACAAATAAAATTTTAGGGTGGGTACAATCAATAAAATAAGTGACTAATTAAAGAAAATTCAAATTATAATGAGAATTAAGGTTTAGGGTTTTATCATATATTAATTTATATAATTCTATTATGTATAGAGAGACTCGTGTAGAAATGTAGTATTTAGTGTTTAGGTTGTAGGGTTTAGAGTTTAGGCTTTATGATTTAAAGGTTTTATGATTTTAAACTTTAGGGATTTAATATTTGTGGTTTTAAGGTTTAAGGATTTAATTTGTAAGGTTTTAGAAATTTAGGATGTATGATTTAGATTGGTTTGTGATTTAGGGTGTAGGGTTTAAGGTTTATAGTTTAAGGTTTTAAAGTTTATGGTTTAGAGTTTAGTATTTAGGTCTAGGGTTTAAGGTTTCATGGTCTAAGGTGTGTAGGCTATAAGGTTTAAAGTTTCATGGTTTAAGGATTAAAGGTTTAGAGTGTAGAGTTTTAAAATTTAAGGTTTAACATTTTTGGTTTGTGGTTTGTGGTTTAGGGTTTTAGGGTTTAGTGTACAAGGTTTTAAGGTTTAATATTTATAGCATATATGTTAGGGTTTATATATTTATAAGTTTAGGGTTTAGGTTTAGTGTTATAAGTGGATGGTTTTAGGGTTTTATAATTTAAGTCTTAGGGTTTAAAGTTTAAGGTTTAAGGTTAAGGTTTAAGGTTTAAGAGTTCATGGTTTATAGGTTTAAGTTTTTAGGGTTTAAGGCTTATGATTTTAGGGTTTAGGTTTTAAGTTTTAGGATTTTATCGTTTATGGTTTAGGTTTTTAGGGTATAGGGGTTATGTTTTAAGGGCTTATGCAGGGTATCAAATAGAGTTCGCGGTCAAGTTTTCGTTCGCGTCGCGTTTATCGCGGTTGCGAACATAACGGATGCCATCGCGTTCACTGCAGGTGTCACGGTCGTGAAATTTTAAAAATTTTGCACAACTTATCTTAAAACATAATAAAAATAATTATAAGAAATCATTTTTAATGATTTTTAAAATGTTTTCTAAGCGAAATTGACATATATATATAATATAGTTTAACCAAATAGAAGACTTTAAAAATCTGATGATAGGATAAGATAATTAATTAACAATGACATTATAAATACATTATTATTTAAAAGAAATAAGACTATCAACATAGGAAAAAACTAAGAAATTAAAATGGATAAAAATAAATTTTTCTATAACTATGAGATAAGAAATTATTTACCATTTTATCAAAGAGTTATTCTTCACTAAAAAACTCAAGAATAATGTGTGTGTGTGTATATATATATAACAAATGTAAGCAAAAAACAACAACACATACCTCATGCAATAATTAAAGCAAGAAAACAATCTTCATTAAAGCAAGAGCATAAAAGTACGATGTACAATAATTAAAACAACACATACCTCATTTAACCTAACTATGTTAAGATGTACAATACTTAAAACAACACATACCTCATGCAAGCAACCTAACTATGTCAAGATGTTCAACAATCTTCATTATGGATGTCTATCTTTTAATCTAAAACCAATCAACCAAAGTAAATTAAAATCCAAAAAAAATGTTAACTAATTAAATTTCAAAGAAAAATAGATTCTTTTAGTAGAAAAAACATACCTTAGAAATGGGGTGGTAGCAATTTCACCAATTAGTGGAATAACGAGGAAGATCAGATCCTTCACCTTCACTTTGAAAGTGATCTCTACTTGATCTCTGTGGTCTTTTTCCAACAATATATCCAAAAATTGTAACATTTTCACCTTGATTTTCAAATAATTGAGATGAAGGATATACTTGAGGAGGATGATATATGTGAGGTGGAGGTGGGTGATACATTAGTGGCGGAGGGTACATTTGAAGCTGATATGACATACCATAATTAGGAAATAGTGGATAAAAATCATGTGAAGGTTGGAAATATAAAGATTGTCCTAATGGATAAAAACCATGAGTGCTAGTAGATGAATTGTTATACCAAGGGTTACTAGAAGTCGATCTTCTATCGTAAGAAGAACCTTCAGAATTATATTTTCTGGTGTCTTTCTCTTTTCCTTTTGATCGAGCTCTTGATTCACTTATTTCTCTACTAGATGCAGCAGACATATTTCCTTCGAATTTTGACCTATCACGGAAATGTCCACTACCAATATAAACATATTATTCTCCATACCGATTAGAAAATCTAAACCTCCATCACCACTCTGTCTATCATCGTCATCAATTGGACTTAACCACCACCATCGGGCCCATCACTACTCTGACTTAGTGTTGCCCTAGAACTTGAATGAGATAAATGTTGTTGTTGAGATTGATCATCAATATTTATTTCATCATCTAAGGTATCCACAGGCAATACACCAACATTTTCACCATCTAATAATGGATTCTCTTTCTCTTGAAGCCATTTTGATAGTGAATCAACATCTTCAAAGATATGATCAAGGCTAATAGGATTGTAACTAGCGTTTATATCATCAATACTCATTCTTTTTTATGCCTCATTTTAAGTCTTATATTATAATAAGTAAACACTAGTTTCTCAAGTTTTTTTGTACTTCAACTTGTTTCTTGCTTTGGTGTGAATATAGTTGAATGTGCTCCAATTTTATTCACAATTTGATGCAGAAGTTATTTGACTAAGCACTTTAATTTCTAATCATTGTAATTCAAGAGTATATATGTCATATATCATCCACCACTCAGCTGCATAATATTATTTAAATTTCAAACTAACATCAAAATGTACAAATATAATTA